TGTCTTACTGTGTTCCCAGCATCCCCAATTAATGAAGCCATTTGCTCAGAATTAATACCGACTCCGCGCTCGTCCAGCATCACAACCTTGGGTTCACAAAAGGAAAGGAAAAATTAGAACTTAGAACTGTAAAATGAGATTAACGTTATCTATTTACGAGACGAGGTTTTGATATGTTTTATCAAGATACAACTCACAATAGAAAGAAAACAGCAATAACTGGTTTTACGCTATCTATCCATGCAAACAATAGGACACAGGTTAAGCTCTGAGGCTCACCTCTTTCCAATTTCCATACATGGCTACATCTTATTTTTCTTCTACATGGTAGTATGAGGGAGAAGGAAATATATACGATGAATTGGGGTAGCCCCATTTAAATCTTGTCATTTAATCTTAAAATACAAAACAGTAAACAAAACATGAAAAAATCATTGAAAAACAAGAACCGGTATAGGCGTTTACTGAGGTTTACCCATTCATTTTGCTTGATAAGGCTCATCACAGCTGTATCTTCGTGTTCGATACGAGCCATCACATCCCTATGACAGGACAAGAATACCAATTATAAGCACCAATATGCATGCTTTCTAAGAGCCCATAAATTAATACATAACATTCGACCAGCCTCAGCACATCACAAGCCATCATCATTAGTGCGATCAGACCTTATAACAAGAGAAAATTTTCAGAATTAAGTTTTCTGCTTTCATGACCATAAACATGGGATGGTATTGTTAATAAATTCGAAATCCCAATCAATTAGAAACAGAAGAAATCTCGAATAAACTCATCCAAGACCAAATGAAGAACCAGAGGACGGCCACTACACTCTAGACCTCTAATATAAGTACTAAAACAGCAACTAATCTACACAACAGAAAGTAGTATCGACTTAATTCAGTGCTTGCTTTGTATATATAGTGACTAGCAATAAGATTAATACTTCATCCTGTAATCCATCAAATCCCATGCATCATCCTTCAGACAAGCACAAGCCGTAAAAATGTTACCATGCATTATTCTACATTCTTATGAATTAGAATAAATTCGACACAACCAGTTTCAGATACACACCGAGCATTTCTTGGGTTCGACTTTAGTCGAATATCTTCAACGGGACAATAAAGCTTGAGCTTACTGACATACTCATCGACTATGAGCTGAACCCCTGTAGACCTCTTCTTCCCCACACTCAGAATTCGAATTGGAAGCGCCCTCTGAAACCAAATCAAGGGCTCATTTTCAGAAACAAAAAATTACGACAAAAAGGACGGAAACTAAAGATTACTTCCTGAAATCAAGATTATTATTTATTCTTTTTTTTTTTCCTCGAAAAACTCGAAACAGATTCAAGTGCGAGAACTAACCACTGATTGGCCGGCGTACTTGCATTCGCGACCTGAAGCGTGTAGATTCAAATGGGAATGTCAAATTAAAAACTGTGGAAAAGCGCGGAACAAGAAAAAGGTAAATTATTTGCAGTGAAGAGCATTAACCTGGAGAAGGGGTGCAGTGGGTCTTGCTACTGGCGAGGAGAGTACAAGCCATAGCTATGGAGGGGGAACGTGAAGATGAAAAAATGCAAACTTTACGTTTACATCCCGGTTATTTACCGTAATTGCACATCTGACCCTAAAGAACGTTTTCTCATCTTCTACCTAAAAGTCGCGGGAGCTCATATAGTATGTCGCGTGTTTCTTGAAATTCGCCAAAAAAGAAGCTTCTGGAAACCTCTAGCTGGATTATATATTGAAAAAAGGTTCTATTTTTCTTTGGTTAATTCATTTCTTCTCAGATTTCTATCTTCTTCCCCCTACCAGGTATATGCAGATATTCATTCTCAACACAGGAACAAGCTCTCCTAACGAAGTTAAGATTTTTTTTAGTAGTTGTTGATTTTTGAAAACGACTATGGATATATTGATTACTGGAAAATGGTGATACTTTCTTGGGAGTCAAGTTAGGAGTTGTGTAATGTTCCGTTTATTTATCGATAATATGCTGAATGGCATTGTTAAAGGTGGCTTTTTTTTTT